GTGTGTGTGTGTAACCCTTGGAATCATAGGGATCCTTTCGGATTGTTTTAGCTTCACAGTTGTTTTCCTTGTGCAGCAGGGGGACATGGCGTACAATCAGGGACCATGTCCAACGAAGCTACCTGATTGTACGGGAAATGAGAGCTGATCACTCTCACGTACCTGCTTTGAGTTTTTCCGTGCATGGCCACTGGGCTAAGCCGAGAACCCAGCTAGTTTCTACCCTTAGTAAAGGGCTAGTGAGTTCCGCAGACATGCACGTTACGCCGTCACCCCGTCGGTCCGTTTTCGCCTTGAGCTTTTGGCCTTCTTTCCTCTTGAAGTCCTCCAGGTTCCCGTGGTTCGTACTGGTACCCTTAGGAATCGAACCCTAGGCTGGCGTGTGGCACCGCTTTCAGTTCAGTACACCCTATCCTAAGTGTGTGCGCGTTTTGTTTGTTTGTTTGTTTTTCATATTCTTCCGCTTTCTTTTGCCTCAATGGCCTTGTCTAAAGCAGGAGGCCTTCAGCGATCCTGGCAAAGCCCGGCTGAGTGACCTCCAGAAGCGGCTCCGGAGATTTGGAGATGAGCTAGGCAGGGACCGCGGGGGGCGTTGGTGAAGGTGGACCTTCTAAGAAGTGGTGAACCAGTTTCCGAGAAATGGAGGATTGATGTTCCTGGTTGTGTCACAACAGAACAGGTGGAGAAACGAATGGGAGGGGGTGCTTGGGAGGAAGATCAGTGCAACTAGAGGTTCACGAGGAGGGGGACCCACCAATCCAAGGGGGACCCACCAACTGTCAAGGTCTCATCATAGCGGACCTCATGTTTCCTGACATGTGGGCAAGCTGGCTTCTCCAAGGGGGGGGCTTGCCTCATACTATCAGGATCCCTTCATGCCATGCGACGAACGGAGTGAAGAATTTCAGTGGACGTGGTCGATTCCTCCGCTGGAGCCAGCGCAAGCGGCCGAACTGGTTGGCCTCCCAACCGGGTTTTCTCGATGTTTTGCGACCAGGTGTGGAGGAAATCTCGTGGGCACTGGAGCGAACTGATGACACCTGGCAGGTGAGCTGAAGAATTGGCAGGAAACTGAAGTGCCACAGGCACTGGGTCTAGACTGCACCCGGAATTTCATATTCTCAGCCAGGTGCACGACCTCACCTTCACAGCATGGACAGGATCTTTGCTTGCTGACAGCGTGGTGAACGATGTCAAACCAGCTAGAAAACACGGCTTTTGCACACTTGGGTCACCTTGTTCTGCAGTGCTTCAAGCACATCAATCCTCGAAGAGCTATTAAATAGCAAAGGTCAACCCACGCGACGTTGACCTTTTCCGGTCTGAACCGAAGAGATCTCCCCAGTGAAACGCTGTCCTGTTTGGGAACATCGCCTCACATCGTAGTAGGTAACAACCGGCCCCAAAACATTTGGTCCTTTGATTAGGAAGCCCTGTTTAGTGACCAGTTCTGCGGCGAGAGACGTCCGCTTCTCGCTGCGCCTGCCGCGAGAAGCGACAGAACGCCAGGTGGCAAGGATCTCATTCTGCCTGGGTGTCATCTCGATGGCTCTTTTGGTGTTGCTGGCTCTTTGGCAAAAGCTTTTGTGCATGATTTCGAGCCGAGATGCGACGACCGCGCGGACTGACTGCGCGGCTAAATTTTGTACTTGCTTTCTTCAGAGGACGTTTGGATCAAAGGGTCGGCGTCATGCGCGTTTGAGGGCCAAGGGTAGCTCATCACCAGTGTTTGGGTCAAGGACGGAGTTTTAGCACCTTGTCTCGCCAACGCCACACGTTTTGTGTGCTGTGCCTCGTCTTGCCTCAGCGGCCCCAGGTCTTGTCCGGCATGGAGCCCCAAATCGACCAATACTCGGC